ACAGCACACGGACACACCACTATGTTATGTTTGTAGAAGCCTGCCACTGAATGTAACCTCTGCAATGTTTATCAAGTCTGAGTGTACATCAAAAGCTATACATTTGAAGAGCTGGTCGTCCTCTTTCTTCAAGGAACAAGAAAACACGTAACTGTTTAGGAAACTACTTTTATTCCTCAAGAAAATGTGGTTCCCGGCTGCCGCTCGCAGCCTGCCCAATCGTCTGCTTCTCAGACGTCATCTGCCCGCGTGTTCTGTACAGCAGTGATATTCCTGGGCATCAGACACATAAATATGGTAGTAATATCAAGACAACAGCAGTCCAAAACACTTGTAATGGTCTCCAGGCTCTGCCCAGACGAAAACTATTTATATGTAAATATATATGTAAAATGAAATCCAATGAGAAATCAGTCTAAAAAAAGCACCTAATATGACAATATGAACACGTAGAGTAAGGATGATATGACAGAGGTTGTGAGATGGTCTATGGGGATGGCAGCATTATTTATGCATCATCTTCTTCCTCTGGGTTTTCCTCTTCCACTTCATCATCATCTTCATCTTCATCAGGGTCTTCATCGTCGTCTTCAGCCTCCCCATTGTCATCCCCCTCAAACCTCTTTAGGTCTTCTTCATCGTAATCATCATCACCATACAATTCCTCAAACTTTTCAATACAACTGAAGTTCTGTAGGTGTTCTTCTGTGAGATCCTGATTGCCTGGCCGGATGACCAGCGTGCTCCTCAAACCAGCCTGGCATGCTGCCTTGGCCTCTGTAGACAATAGGAAAATAACACATTTGAGAAATCATTACATGGAGGTAACACAACAAGGTATGGTATGGACTTACAACTTCTTTAATATTACAACAGGACGTTTCTGGGCTACTTCTTGCCCCTTCATCAGGTGAATGACAGAATATGATACAAGCAGAATATACAGTATGTACAGGAATAAAAATAATAAAAAATTGCTTAGTTCAACAAACAGACATGTATTTGAGTATGTTCAATAATAAAGCTATATAGCCAGACCCTTATTTCTCATAACAGCAAGTTCCTTCCTTTCAGAACAATTCTGAAGTTATTTCTAATAACATAGCAAGTTCCTTCCTTTCAGGACAATTCTGAAGTTATTTCTCATAACATAGCAAGTTCCTTCCTTTCAGGACAATTCTGAAGTTATTTCTAATAACATAGCAAGTTCCTTCCTTTCAGAACAATTCTGAAGTTATTTCTCATAACATGTATCAAGTTCCTTCCTTTCAGGACAATTCTGATGTTATTTCTCATAACATATATTTGCAGTTCCTTCAATAATACAGCTAAATCAATTCTATAAGTTAGACCCTTATTTCTCATTACATAGCAAGTTCCTTCCTTTCGGAACAATTCTGAAGTACTGAGCATGCTAAGACTTTCATAATTCTTTTTTTTTTGTTAACACAGGCACTATAATGCTTACATAGCTTCTTATGGGGAAGTGGTAACTGGCTCCTTAACAATGGGGCTGTAAAAAGTGCTGATCCTGCATTAATCACTATTTATTCACTAACTCAATATAATGTCAGCCATAAATTGTGTCTCCAAGATACAAAACATTGGCATATACAGAAGTGCCCACCAAACTCATATATAGTAGTGCCCATCAATCTTATTGCAATCAGATATCAGTTGTGGCTACCACCAAGACAGAGAAATTTGAAAAAAATAATTTTAAGCATATAGTGCAGGATGAGATGGGTGAAATGTAATAAATTTGCAACTTTGAATGTTTCTTGGAATCACAAGTGAAAAGAGTTAGTTCCCTTAACATCATCCCCCATCTGGGGTTTGTTACTAAGAAGTTATAATTTATTCCATATTTCCTACATTTTATTTAAGACAGAACTAAATGCCTAAGCTGTCCTTAATGCAAGGTAGTATATACCGAAGGGTCTGTAATACTCCAAGACACCAAGGTTGACACTAGGGCTGGCTAAAATGATCGATAAATGAGTTAGTTTTACGCGGCACTCAGCAATATGGTGGTGGTCTGTAAATAATCGAGTCTGGACCAGACAATCCAGTGATCAACAGTATGAGCATTGATCTGCGCAATTGGGAACCGATGACATATGTCAACCAAGTTAGTCGCCTCTTACGACAAGCATAGCCGCCTTTTGTGCCAAGCATGGATTGCTGAAGACCTATTCTACCCCGGATCTTCACGGGTTGATCGATAAATGGAAAAATTATAGATCTCTATGATCTATGTAAATAGCCAGCCCTAGCTGACACTGTCAGGGACGAACATGTACCTACCCTCGGGGGTGTCTGTGAGGAAGAGAATTTCATCATTTTCACAGCCAACTTTTGTAACTATTGTCTTGTAGCTGCTGCTCTCTGTTTTGCTGCCTATTGTTGTGTCGAAGAAATCTGTGAACATCTAAAGAGGAAACCAGACATCAGTCTCCACTTGTGCTGCATCCGTGATTGTCAAACAATATTGTGGTCATGAAAAGGAGTGACAGATACTCAGTGAGTTTCAACGGTTTTCTGGGATAATTTCTAGCCAGAAAGTTTACTAATTGTGTAATAACCTATATAGCTTGATGAGCGACCATTCATAATTTCTTAGGATATGGCTAAAGGGTGTGATGATGATTTTTATGGAGAAGAACGTACAATGTGAATGACCCCCCTCATATTTATGTAGTAAGTGACACCCCCACACACCTCCCTTTACAAAATCAATTACACCCCCCTCCCTTCCCATAATTTTAAAGCATAATTCATTAATATTTTTATGTAAAAAATGATGACCCCCAAACACCATACATGTGTACAAAATTGATGACCCCCCTGCCTCCCCAGAACAAAATGGATGACCCTGCCTTAAAATCATCATTACCCCCCTAGCCATAAATTATGAATGGTCCCTAACAGAGTAAGTATCTAGATAAAAAATGTCACTAAACAAGATGTTCTCCATAAAGTTGTATACTTAATTACATTCCAAATGTAAGACTGACAAGTGGACTCACTTCTACTAAATCGCCATCTTGTGTGTTGGCAAACAATAGTTTCTGTGCTTCTACACTTCCCGATGAGTACACATACAGCTTGATGCCCTCCTCTGATAGCTGCTGTATTACTGCTGCCACATCATCAAACAACCTGTAACATAACACAATCATGAATCCTACTGGCAGACAGTCTGTAACATAACACAGTCATGAATCCTACTAGCAGACAGTCTGTAGCATAACACAGTCATGAATCCTACTGGCAGACAGTCTGTAGCATAGCACAGTCGTGAATCCTACTGGCAGACAGTCTGTAGCATAACACAGTCGTGAATCCTAATGGCAGACAGTCTGTAGCATAACACAATCATGAATCCTACTGGCAGACAGTCTGTAGCATAACATAACAGTCATGAATGCTACTGGCAGACAGTCTGTAGCATATAACACAGTCATGAATCCTACTGGCAGACAGTCTGTAGCATAACACAGCATGAATCACAGTCATGAATCCTACTGGCAGACCTAGTCTGTAGCATAGCACAGTCATGAATCCTACTGGCAGACAGTCTGTAGCATAACAGTCATGAATCCTACTGGCAGACAGTCTGTAGCATAACAGTCATGAATCCTACTGGCAGACAGTCTGTAGCATAACACAGTCATGAATCCTACTGGCAGACAGTCTGTAGCATAACACAGTCATGAATCCTACTGGCAGACAGTCTGTAGCATAACACAGTCATGAATCCTACTGGCAGACAGTCTGTAGCATAACACAGTCATGAATCCTACTGGCAGACAGTCTGTAGCATAACACAGTCATGAATCCTACTGGCAGACAGTCAGCATAGCAGCATAGCACAGTCATAGCAATCCCTACTGGCAGACAGTCAGTAGCATAGAATCATGAATCCTACTGGCAGACAGTCTGTAACATAGCAGTCATGAATCCTACTGGCAGACAGTCTGTAGCATAGCACAGTCATGAATCCTACTGGCAGACAGTCAGTCATGAATCACTAGCAGACAGTCTGTAACATCCTACTGGCAGAGTCTGTAGCATAGCACATCATGAATCCTACTGGCAGACAGTCTGTAGCATAACACAGTCATGAATCCTACTGGCAGACAGTCTGTAGCATAACACAGTCATGAATCCTACTGGCAGACAGTCTGTAGCATAACACAGTCATGAATCCTACTGGCAGACAGTCTGTAGCATAGCACAGTCATGAATCCTACTGGCAGACAGTCAGTAGCATAGCACAGTCATGAATCCTACTGGCAGACAGTCTGTAACATAACAGTCATGAATCCTACTGGCAGACAGTCTGTAGCATAGCACAATCATGAATCCTACTGGCAGACAGTTTAACATAGCAGTCGTGAATCCTACTGGCAGAGAGTCAGTAGCATAGCACAATCATGAATCCTACTGGCAGACAGTTTAACATAGCACAGTCGTTAACATAACAGAATCCTACTGGCAGAAAGTCTGTAACAAAATGAATCACTGGCAGACACTTTACAATGTTTTAGTAAGTTGGGTCAGTCACCCTGCAACATATATTTAGGAACAGGTCCTGAATCCCCTCGGTAGACAGTGTAACATGTTTACAGTGACATTATGAATCATATTGGCAGACACCCTGCTAGAGAATGACAAGAACAATGAACAATGTCAAGAATCATGATGAAATACTTTCTGTAATAGATAACAAGGCTGTAACCTATCGAAGACACGCTGTAATAGATAACAAGGCTGTAACCTATCGAAGACACGCTGTAATAGATAATAGATAACAAGGCTGTAACCTATCGAAGACACGCTGTAATAGATAACAAGGCTGTAACCTATCGAAGACACGCTGTAATAGATAACAAGGCTGTAACCTATCGAAGACACGCTGTAATAGATAACAAGGCTGTAACCTATCGAAGACACGCTGTAATAGATAACAAGGCTGTAACCTATCGAAACCGCTGTAATAGATAACAAGGCTGTAACCTATCGAAGACACGCTGTAATAGATAACAAGGCTGTAACCTATCGAAGACATCGCGCTGTAATAGATAACAAGGCTGTAACCTATCAAAGTAATAGATAACACTGCCTGTAATAGATAACAAGGCTGTAACCTATCGAAGACACGCTGTAATAGATAACAAGGCTGTAACCTATCGAAGACACGCTGTAATAGATAACAAGGCTGTAACCTATCGAAGACACGCTGTAATAGATAACAAGGCTGTAACCTATCGAAGACACGCAAGGCTGTAGGCTGTAACCTATCAGAGACACGCTGCTAATAATAGATAACAAGGCTGTAACCTATCGAAGACACGCTGTAATAGATAACAAGGCTGTAACCTATCAAAGATAGATAACACGCTGTAATAGATAACAAGGCTGTAACCTATCGAAGACACGCTGTAATAGATAACAAGGCTGTAACCTATCGAAGACACGCTGTAATAGATAACAAGGCTGTAACCTATCGAAGACACGCTGTAATAGATAACAAGGCTGTAACCTATCGAAGACACGCTGTAATAATAAGATAACCTGTAACCTATCGAAGACACGCTGTAATAGATAACAAGGCTGTAACCTATCGAACACACGCTGTAATAGATAACAAGGCTGTAACCTATCGAAGACTGTAATAGATAACAAGGCTGTAACCTATCGAAGACACGCTGTAATAGATAACAAGGCTGTAACCTATCGAAGACACGCTGTAATAGATAACAAGGCTGTAATGAATCCATTTGAATACCCACTATATTGTATAACAACACTGTCATTAATCTTACTTATCAATAGAGAGGTTTATTTTCTTATTTCTTTGATGACATATGATCTATTTATCAAACAAATCAAAGTAACATGAAAGCAGATACCTTTTTCGCAAAAGCAGTGTTTACATAACAATATAAATAGTCCTAGGTCAAATGCTGGAAATGTCCCTATCTTATAGGATCTCTAGCAGCAGTAAAAGTGTTATCCAGTAATTAATATGAACACCTCCCACCCTCCTGATATTCTTGGCGTTAGGGAAAAAGCCACAGAATGTATCAGATTATTAAAACAAACAAGGTTTACTCCATTGCTTGACCAACACAGCCCTCATGACTAAGAAACAGCCTTACTTGCAGACAATGAGGATGTAGGTTACAGACTAAGTATCCAGATTGAGATTAATAGAATTAATTGCATGGAAATGGTGCAAATTGTAAATTTGATCAATTCACTGTGATATCCCAGTAGAGAAGATTTACTGTACATAAACATCATAAGCATACAGGGTACAAAGCATGAGCACAATCAGTTATATTGGAAAGTTTTAACTTTTGATATAAACAATGTAACTAAAATATATTATGGCCAAGAGAGCAGATGCATATTTCATGTGAACATTCAGGAAATGTGTAAGTGATGTAACAATAAATGTAGTTCAGCCATCTGAGGAAACAGCAAAGAGCGACAATGGAGAATGACTTCATGTAGCAAAAACTACCAGTCTTTCTCAAATCTGATCAGCACTTTCTTTGAGCAAACCCAACTCAATGAGCCGCTGTGCTGACCAACTGCATGAGTATTAACCCCATGGTCTAATGGACTGTGACAAGCACTGCTGTTCAACATGGTCAAGATATGAAGTGAGGGTGATAAGGCTGGGTGTATCATATTACCTGATTTGGATGCTATCTCTACATTTGGCCTTGGAGTATAAAGGGGACTGTAGACTATGAATATATTTAATGTAAGTAGTAACCTTTTAAACATACCAGAAATTTGATTGAACCAAAACATTTTGTACTTCAGTAAAACAAGATTAACAATGTACATACTCTCCCTTGAGTCTGCCGCTCTCGTAGCCTTCCTGCCACACGTGACCCTGCAACTGTTTCAGCTCTGTGGACTTTCGGTCATTGCTCATTTGCCACCTCACATTCTCTGCAACAGCCTTCAGGATTTCTTCCTTGTCTGCGCTGCTCTCAGGAATCTCAACCACACCATCAACTGAGTCTGATTTGTCTTTGGCAGCCTGGGACGAAAAGACAACAACAGGAAAATGAAAAAACTCTTAATCCAAGAAATCTGACAATGAATAGTCCTATTTGGAAAAGCTTACGGCAATGAAACTATAAAATTGATGAAAGCTCTGGGGGTGTTCAACAAGAAAGATGTGCAGCTTCAGGACGTGAGGGGTGGTGGAGTAGCCTTGTGGTTAAAGCATTCGCTTCTCACGGTCAAGACCCGGGTTCGATTTCCCACATGGGTACAATATGTGAAGTCCCTTTCTGGAATCCCCCGCCTTGGCATTGCTGGAAATATTGCTAAAAGTGCCGTAAACTCATAAAATCACTCAGGAAGGAAGTGAACTTTTTTCATGAAATGAGCAGTTGAAATCAAAGCAAATATTTTTTAGCAATGTGTGCAGTGGTAGTCTTGAATGACATATGTGCCACTCAACAGGATAAAACAATGACTGATAGTGTCATCATCATGTAATCCCCTCTTCACTGTCAGAACAGGTGCTTTCCACAACACCTCAGACTGGGCCATGGGTTTCAGCATCTAACAAAGATCTTACACTGTACAGGACAAAGAGCCATGGAATCTGCCACAGATGGAATAGACCTTCACACATCATTAGTATCAAGATGCAAACTATCAACAAAGAAGCTGAGACAGGGAACTGTTCCACATGACTGACCCCATCACCTAATCTTTGTATTACGTAACAAGTTCACAAGTGTGTACACTTCACTATTCATGAAAGTGTTATCAATGTCACAGCTTTGATCTAGAAAATAAAGCATCATTCTAATGTAACAATGGAAATACTGTTTGTAGATTTGGAGAGGTGTAGTGGCGAACAGTTGTGATGTAAGGGAGGTAACTCTTATGTAATTCACAAAACCTTACTGACCACTTATTGTTATCATTGATTTCTTTCTGTGCTTGCTATTACAATGATAAGTGTTTGTCATGTGTCTTCTGTAACTTAACATGAAAGTTGTTGATTTAAGCCACACAGTAGGGTTGGAAAAATGGCATTGTATTTTGAATATTTTCGTTTTATACATTTTTATGTCCAAAGATGCAAACAGACTTTCCTTTACTGATAGATGTTTTCTTTATACATGTACTTTATATCACAACATGTTTCCAAAGAACAATGAATCATAAAATACATACACTCAAATACATTATATTGTGACATGATTCTCACCTTTTTCTTTCAATACTTTCATCATTGTGAGAAAAATCATGTACTTCTCCATCTGATATCTCTGTTTTTCATTCTCAACTAAGTTTTAACTCAAGCAATTGCAAATTGCCACGGAGTAATTACCCACCAGGCTTCGTAATGCTGCAATGTCTTTCTGTGTCTCTGTGTCATCATAATGTTTCTTGAGGTAAGTGTCCAGATTGTCTGTGACAAAGGGGAATAATGTCTCCTGGAAAAAATATATATACATTTTACCCAAATTGCATGAATTAATATCAACTAAATCAACAAAATAAAGAATACACTGTTGTGCATCGACTCTTGAGCTCATATATTTTGCTTCATTCTGAAAAATATATTTATGACAAAATTATTATCTGTAGAACATAGAACAGTGGAATATTTGGAGATTTCGGTACAATGATAGGTCAATGTCACTAAGACTAAGAGCTAAGATACAACTTAAAATGACATTGTTTATAGGCTAACATTATGAGTCTTAAAAACACACTATCCACATATTAACATCATATTTCCGCTTAAGTCGTGAAACATGTGGATTCTATCCATAACACTTGGTAACTAGGCATATTGGTTCCACATAATAGTCCAAAGGACTATGTTTTACTGACTAGAGTGTGATACGAGGAAGTCGATTAACCGAATATTTACGGTAAACTAGATGTAGGTCACATCTGGGGCAGTTTCACATTACACGCACAAGAAACTATTCTTATCATCGAACATTGTTCATGCTGGTATTAATACATGTTTGTGCATTTGTCGAAAATACTAAGATGTTCAGTCAAATAATCTGTAAGAATTCAGCCTCCTCAGCATACCACAAATCAATCTCATTTTCAAGGCCGTCCAGTGCAAGACCGCCATATTGCCTTTCTCTACCACTAGCTTAACGGGGGTAGTGAATGGAAGAGTCATCACGTGACCAATTTGGCTATTCCCACCGTTATTCAAACTCCCCGCAGAAAACTTTTACCGGCACGCCAACTTAAAAGTTACATTTTAGATAAAAAATTGATATTCCCAAGTGATAAGGTTCTAGTAAAAATGGAGATATAGCTAAATCGGACTCATCTCTAAGGGAGAATACCTACAAAATTAACGTCAAAAATTTATGACGCTCTACTGTCAACATCACATTGGAAAAAAACAACTTTCAGAAACCCGGAAATAAACATTTTGCAAAATTTAATTACCACGACCCTAAGAGATAAGCATTCATTTCATTGATCGAATATTTAGAGGCCTCAAATGGTTTTCTTAAACACGCATATAACTTAGCATAATGTCATGTTTAAATAATTGTTTTTCATTGAAAACACCGTGCGCTCCAAAGTCTCTAAAACGCTCCTACTCCTGGAGAGAGCTGATGGTAAAGTCATCAAAACAATGCAGAATTAAAAATGACAGTAATATTGCTTTCTTCCCCCGTTAGACAAGGTACATCTCACCGCAAGAGAACCCGCAAATGCCTAATATTCGCATTCTCAAACAGAAGCGATTGGCGTTATCTACAGGGACGATGGTGCCCTACAGTACTGATGTCGTTCGCTATGTAACGCATCTGCTGTAACGTTTAACATGACAGGTGCAGCCGACAGAAGTAACCCTTCCGTTGAAGCTTCAGTGATAGTAAAATCAAGGCAACGCATCCCTTATAACAAATATTTGGCGCAATTACAACAAGGAAAAGCAGAAGCGGTACATGTTCCTTGTTGGTCGGCACTTAATAATAAGAGTCCACTTAGCCGCAAAGATCCGAAATACTTTACCTTCACAAATGAAATTGGAGTTGTTGTCCCCTCAATATCCACAACAACTGCTTTAACTCCTCCTAGGAGAGAGTCGGCTTCTTGTGCACAACGTTTCTGGGGTGCCATGACGGATACTACCAGCGCCCGGCGAACAAGCGTCTGATCTGCTGGTGAACAAAGACGCGAATGAATCGAGCTTCAGCCAGCCAGGTGCCTCGCACACTCTGACCTCAATAGACGCCGAGAAATCCTGCTTGCCTCGCGACTAGTCATAGTTATGGGCGTAACTCGAGCTGCTCTATCGACCTGCCCTGCTTAACATGTGAGAGCGTCATTGCGATTCTGCTATAGTTTGCGGGAAAGTATTACATTAGCATACTCGCAGATATTTTATAAATGCTTCAACTCACCATTAGATAAATCTGTTATGCAATACTACTGAGAAACGGTTGTGTTCGCAGTTCGAGGTATGGATACACATGATACCTTAATTGATTTTAGATTATTGACTCGGCTTGTACTAACGGACAAAGATAGTACAATCGGCCTTCAACCACGCAGATCACCCGGTACTCAAATGCCGCCCTTTATGTGCGAGGCTCCGTTGTAACCTACTTGAAAAGAATTTGTTGTGACGATATAAAACCAGACTCGTATTCGAATACACAGCGGCAAGTGACCACTTTAAACTGATAGTAAAGTTTAATCTTCGCCATGACTTCCTGTTGCTACAACTGACAATGGCGATAGGGAGGAAAGTCATGTCGTTTCAATCTGCAACTGGATAGAGATAGCTATTTAAA